CTGCATTGGGCTGCCCGGAGGCCGGTGCCAGAACAGCTCTCCAGCCACCCCCGTGGAGAGAGGGAGGGAGGGTTGCACCAGGTGAGGGTGTTCTACTGACGCAGACATTTTATTGTTGTTGTTGTTAATCCTCACGAGAGGACTTTTTTCCCATTGGTTTTTAGAGAGAATGGAAGGGAGGGGGAGAGACACACAGAGAGAAACTTCTAAGGGAAGTGAGCCTGCAATTGAGGTGCATTCCCTTTACCAGAATCGAACCTGGGACTCGTCAGTCCTTGGGCTGAAGCTCTAACCACTGAACACCTAGTTAGGGCCAGCACAGACTTTTTTTCTTTTAAAAAAATATATATATTTTATTGATTTTTTTAAATTTTTTTTTTTACAAAGAGGAAGGGAGAGGGATAGAGTTAGAAACATCGATCAGCTGCCTCCTACACACCCCCCACTGGGGATGTGCCCGCAACTAAGGTACATGCCCTTGACTGGAATTGAACCTGGGACCCTTCAGTCCGCAGGTCAATGCTCTATCCACTGAGCCAAACTGAGCAAACACAGACGTTTTTAATGAGGACACTGTAGGATCTGGGCGTTGGTAAATGGTGGGGTTTTCCATTTTGCAATGTCAGCTCAGCTGTCTCCTCTGACCTTCTTTGAGGAGCGAGGAAGTAGTCGAGAGGAACCCAGCGGTGTGCTTCTTTTCATTGGCAGAGGCCCTGAGAACCTGGAAACCTTCTGTTTGTAAACAATTCAAGCACTGCAAAAAGCTAAAGTCCACCCGAGGCCTTCCCCTCCTCTGGCCTCCGATGCTGAGCCTCATTCCTCTGCCACTTGGCTTAATTCACCCCCGTGTTGCTGCCCAGGAGGAGGCCAGTGGAGGTGCCGGAAGTGACCGAGTGCGGAACCTGCAGAGTGAGGTGGAGGGAGTCAAGAATATTATGACCCAGAATGTGGAGCGGATCCTGGCCCGAGGAGAGAACCTGGACCATCTTCGCAACAAGACGGAGGATCTGGAAGCCACAGTGAGATGGGGAGCCCGCTGGGGACAAGAGGAAGGGAGGGGGGGAGGACCTTTGGGAATTTGGGCGTCGGTGGTGTTGGGAGCAAAATGAACAGGAGGGAAGTCTGCCTCTTCACCTGTTTTGGGAATTGAAGTTGGCTGAGTCCTCACTTCTGATCCTGTTCTACTCCACCGGTTGGTACTGGTCCAGGGAATAGATCCAATGACCGGGGTTGGTGGGCGGGGACTGACCCATGGAGGCATTTTCTAAGAATCCAGGCATTCTTAGGCTTCTCTCCTTCGAAGTTGGTTTTCCTTTTGAAAGCTGCCCTTGACAGTCATTTGAACCTGGCCTCCCCGGGCCAAAATATTGGCTTTGGAAAATCCCCTTAAGGCCCTTTGGCCTTCTCTGGGAGTGAAAACTGCTAGAGTCTTGCTGCGTCAGCTTTAAAAAGAAGCTGGGAAGAGAAGCGACATTCTTGGATGGAGTCCTCTGCGAGCTGAAGGCTAGAATAACATCTCCCACACATCTGCTCGACCTCATCCCTTCTCTCTCTCCAGCCAGGTGCTCAAGAAGGGAGTTCCTCTAAAGTTCAGCAAAGGCTGGTGCCTAAAGTTCTTTGTCCGCGGGGACATGCTGGGCTGGGGCTTTCTGAGTCCTATGTGTAATCGTGGGCACAGCTCTGTTGTCTCCTTGGGACTTAGTGCTTCTTTCCACAGCCCGACCTGGGGAGCATGAAACGTAGTTACTGCAGCTCCAGTTGGAGAGAAAGCACACTCCCTCACTTCCAACCACCGTGCTGCCCTGGCCCCTCTCCTCCAGCATCAGCAGTCCCCAGCGGTGGGGGCAAGGAATCCTGGCACCTCACTCTGTTCTCCTAAGGGGTGGATTGTGCTGCCCGTGTCACACCCCTGGGTGTGAGCATGTGTGAATGACAGTGCAGGGGTAAGCAGAGAAGCGGGTAGGCAGGTGGCCAGGGGGAGTCCAAGATTTCTAAATTTAAACTTGGCCCACCAGATGGTTGTGAAGGTATGTTTGTCAAGGTAGGAGGATCGCACATCTTCTGTGTAACCGTCTGTTACTTCAACACTTACCACTTACATATTTAGATGGATGGCGTGAGGGCCTCTGAGTGTGCTATTGTCCCAGTGGGAGGAGGAACTGACTCTCACTCTACCTTACCCCCTGCAGTCTGAGCACTTCAAGACAACATCGCAGAAGGTGGCTCGGAAGTTCTGGTGGAAGAATGTGAAGATGATCGTCATCATCTGTGTGATTGTTTTTATCGTCATCCTCTTCATCGTGCTCTTTGCCACTGGTGTCATTCCCTCCTAGGATGACACCCCCCTGCCCTCCTCCTCGAGACATCCCTCCCTCCGTGGCGGGCGTGGTGGGCGGGCGTCAAGCGGGGCCCTCTCTCCCGTCCTCTCCACAGGGAATGCTGCTCAGCCCTCCGCCCCTCACTCTGAGCCCTCTGCTACCCTGGCTGCCCCAGGGAGTTCCTTGATCCCCTGGGAGGAGAGCGCTGAACTGCGGCCAGGTTCCCCAGGTCCTCGGGGTTGGCTGGAGAGTCCTGGAGGGCCCAGCCTGTGGCTGGGACACTGATGGCGGCTGGAAGGCAATAAAGACCCTTCAGTATCCCTGCCTTGTGAGGTGCTTCCTCCTCCTGCCTTTGGCCTTTGGCCCTCTTCTCCCTGAGCACACCCTGGATTCTCCCCTTTGTGGCCCGAGTTGTGGGAGGGGTGGAGAGTGCGTGTTTGGAGAAGAAAGTTGAAGCCTCCCTGTTTTTTATTTTTATTTTAAATATATATTTTATTGATTTTTTTACAGAGAGGAGGAAAGAGGGATAGAGAGCTAGAAACGTCGATGAGAGAGAAACACCAGCTGCCTCTTGCACACCCCCTACCAGGGATGTGCCCGCAACCAAGGTACATGCCCTTGACCGGAATTGAACCTGGGACCTTTCAGTCCGCAGACCGACGCTCTACCACTGAGCCAAACCGGTTTCGGCTTATTTTTATTTTTATTATTCCCCCTTCTTCCATTCATTGTCACAGGCCTCAAGAACAAAACTTGTCTGGGAGCCTTGGCACATGGAAAAATTCAAAACTTTTTTAGGGTAGTGTGCAAGACTGCTAGGTGTCCCTCTTGGGCCTTGCCATGTCGCTTTATTACTTTTCTGCTGGAAGCCTTAACCGAGACGTGAGGTTTTCCTGGGCCGAGCATCCAGGAACCTGGTTAAGGGCCATCTGTCTCTCCCATCATTGCCACTTCTGCTCTGTGGCTCTGTGGTAGTCTAGGGCAGGGTTTAGAGGAACTGGGCTGCTTTTCCTTTTCTTGTGGTTTTGCAAGTTGTATTTGTCTTTTGTCTGCGCCTGCTCTTCTGGGACTTAGCAGGGACTCCGGGTCTCAGCTGACCTAAGGGGGTGCGCGTCTCTCCCCACATGTGGCTGAGCACAGTCAGTATCACAGGACAGGGCCTAGGGCCCTCCCTCCCCTCCGTGTACAATGGGGCTCTGTCTGCGCCTCCCTCCTCCCCACCAGGTCCCATTGTCACTGCCATTCTTTCCAGTGCCCAGTCTGCCTTGCTTTGGGGGAAGAATTCTTGCTAACTGTCCCTGTTACCCTCACAAGCTTTCCAAAATGGAAACTAACCTGTTTTGGGGAGGGAGGAGGAGAGCACAGGAGAGACTCATTGGTAATCTTTGCCACAATGATGTCCATCCTCTGTCTCCTCAGGCCCCTCCTGTCTCCAGGGCCAAGAAACTTGGCTGAAACCTCTTCCTTGGGACCCGGACTGTCCAGGATGAGGGCTGGGTCTGTGCTCACAGGGGCTCAACCCCAGGGAGGGAGCCCTCAAGAGGGGCCACATTTAATACGTTGAGGGTGGCAGGGGCTGGGGTGAAGAGGTGGCTTTGACTTCTTTGCAGCACGAGGAGAGCACACAGGTGGGAGATTCACCTTTGGGAGGGCTCCGGAGGGGCAGCCAACCACCAGCCTCGCACAGCCTCTGAGGAGCCGGATCACGTCAGGGCAGCGCTGCCCTCCGCCTCCTGGGAAATACAGAAAAGCTAGAGCTGCACCTTCTCCTCAATGGTCTCTTTTCTTCTTTTAATATATTTTATTGATTTTTTTACAGAGAGGAAGAGAGAGGAACAGAGAGCTAGAAACATCGATGAATGAGAAACATTGACCAGCTGCCTCCTGCACACACACATCCCCTCCCCCACCGAGGAGGTGCCCGCGACCAATGCACATGCCCTTGACTGGAATCGAACCCGGGACCCCCCCCAAGTCTGCAGACTGAGGCTTTATCCACTGAGCCAAACCGGTTTTGGCTCTGTTTTCTTTTTAAATTGAGGTGAAATTCTCAGAACATACAATTGAGCACTTAAAAATGCCCAGTTCAGTGGCAGGGAGTGCATTCACTATGTTTACTGTGAATAAACTTCAGTTTCGAAACTTTTGGCCCTGGCCGGGGGGGATCCGTTGTCTTACACCAGGGTTGCTGGGATTCCATTCCAGTCAGAGCATAGGAATGCAGAAGCAACTGATGAATGCATCCATAAGTGGAACAACAAATAGATGTCTCTCTCTCTTTCAAATCAACCGACCAGTAAAAAATACTTAAAAAACTACAAAACCTTTGGGCGGGTGGGGGAGGGGGGGCTGTGTATGGTTACAGGTGGGTGAGATGCACTCACCACGGTGGGCAAGACCTGGAGACACCTGGCACAGTGCCTGACAATGGTGCTCCTGCAGCCCCCTAGAATGAATGAATCATGCCACCCCAGTTAAGCCGGGTCTACCTGATCTTGGATGCAGTGCCACAGATGCCCCCAGAGCCGGCTCCAGGGCCCACGTGGGGCCCCGGCTGCTCCAACTCAGCCCCAATGCGGGAGGCTGGGGAGTCATCCGCAGCTGGCTCCCCCTGGCCCGGGAGGAGGCGCCCTAAGGGCCCAGGTCGCCACTGCCGTCTGCTTTCGGTTTAATTTGAACTTGGTCACGGTCGTGGGGGAAGGCGCCCCCCCTCCGCCCCGCCCTGCCCCGCCCCTCCGCTTCCTCCCGGGCTCTGGCACTGGGGCCGCTCTGGGCAGAGGAGCAGCAGCGAGCCCAGCGGCGGCAGCAGCAACCATGGTGAGGGCCCCGAGGGCAGGGTGGGCCGGGCCAGGGGCAGAGGACGAGCAAAGGGGGTGTGACACTTGAGGGGGTGGGGGGGGGTCACCCCGAGACTGCAGTCCTCGGGCGGGGTTACCTGCTGAGGCAGGGCGGGGTCAGCCCTTTAGATTGCCCTTGAGCGAGGGAGGGAGAATGTGGCCTGAGCCCCAAGCCCGCTGCCTTGGGGCCACTTTCTGAGCCAAGTGGTTACCAGCACCGGCTGGCTGCAGGCTCGGGCTGAGGTCCTGGTGATGGCCACTTGCCGGCTCTGTGACCCGGGGCAAGTCACTTAACTTCCTTGAGCCTCCCTTTCCTCCCCGGAGAAGTGGGTCGGCGATACCTGCCTTGCTCGGTAGATAGGTCCCTGGGAGGTGAAAGGAGAGAGCATGGCAGAGACCCACCTGCCTGGCACTCCTCCTGAGAAGGGGTAGGTAATGTGCTGACCGCCTCAGCTCTCTCTGGGGCTGTGAGGAGTTAAGCCCCCCGTTAGGAACCTGAGCAGATGGGGCGGTTGGAGATTGAGCCAGCCTCACGGCAGGTTTTGGGGGTGAAAGAGGAAGGAAGTTGCTTAGAAAAGTTCCACTGAGGTTATCCGAGTGTGGCATAGGCCCTCCTTCTAATCCCTATCTGGGGACACATTGCAAAGTTGAGTCATTGCCATGCCGCCACCCTGGCTGCAGATTCTGGCCTCTGTCCTCACTTGCCATCTCCAAGGCAAAGGTGGAACACGTGGTGCCAGCTGCTGCCCTCCCCTCCCCTGGGGAAGAGGGGCCCAGCAGGAAGCAGGCCTGGTGCTTGATGGTGCTGCTGCAGAGAGGCTGGCAGAGGTGGGATGGAAGGGCCCGGCTGGCGGCTGCCATGCCTGGATGGCCTCATCTCCGGGGAACTGGAGGCAGGAAGAGGAAGCTGGGCAGGAAGGTAGTGCTAAGCTGTAAGGACACGCCAGGAAACTGAGGGAGGCTCTGAGAATGGGACTGAGTCCAGAGCCCACTTCCCAGTGTGCAGGGCAAGGGATCATGCGGGGAGAGGGGTTAGCATTTGGGGGAAAGAAAGAACTCCTGAAATGAAAACTGAGGGCAGGATGATGTGTTGAGGGAAACTCTGGGACTCTCACAGGTTCATTGGAGGCAAATGGTAGATCAGAGATTGGGAAGAATACATTGATCTACCCTCCCTCCCCCACCCCATCTCCCACCCCAATTCCTCTGTTCTTTCCCTCTTGCCCCTTTCTCTGCTCACAGCTCATTCTTTTCCTTTTTCCCATCCCCCTTCCCTACCTGGTCCTTCTTTTCCCTTCTCTGATTCATTCAGTCAAATATTTCCTTGTGTTTCCGGTGTGCTGGACATAATGATGGCTATCAGGGGTAGAGGAGGAACAGTGACAGGAAAGACGGAAATTGAATGGATAATGACGTGAATTCATTCATCTTTTAGATGGTCCTCTTTCATGTACTGTCCAAAGAATTTGGGTTTTGGCCTTCTTCATATGCATACAAGTTGAGTGGGCAGCATCAAAAGGCCTGCTGAGTCGTTAGCCAGTCAGCTAAAGCATTTGGCCTCCCTTTGCCTGAACTCAGGTTAGCACAAGTGTTCAGAATGTGATCCTTGGAGTCTCCGTTGGTTCAATTCTCAGCTCTTTTCCTCACTGTCTCTGTGACCTAGCACAGGTGATTTAACCCCTCTGAGCCTCAGTTTCTTATAAAACTGGGATAAGAGTACTCTCCTCAATGAATTATTGTGAGGATTAAATGAGATAAAGTGAACTGACAGCCAGCACAGTGCTTGGCTTTGAGTAGTGTCTGTTGAATGGTGGCTGTTACTACTTCAATAGCCTTTAGCACCTGATGGAAATAAACTAGATGCAGGTTCTCAAAGGCCCATGTAAAGTTCTATACTTAGGTCCTAACAGTTTTGGCTCAGTGTATAGAGCACCGGCCTATGGACTGAAGATTCCCAGGTTCAATTCCGGTCAAGGGCATGTACCTTGGTTGTGGGCACATCCCCAGTATGTGCAGGAGGCAGCTGATCGATGTTTCTCTCTTATCGATGTTTCTAACTCTCTATCCCTCTCCCTTCCTCTCTGTAGAAAATCAATAAAATATGTTTTTAAAGAATTATAACATTCTGTATTTAGGTTAGAAACAATTAAGGGCACACATTTACCATAAAGAAGAGCTAGCTTGGATGTATATTTTGTAAAAAATATCTAAAAGATTACCGTATTTTTCGGACCATAAGACGCACTTTTTTCCTCCCAGAAGTGGGGGGCAAAAGTCCCTGCGTCTTATGGTCCAAATATAGCCTACACATATACTTTAAAAAAAAAGTTTTTTTACTTGCCCGGCTCTGTGTGGTCTCTGTGTGCTTGCCCGGCTCTAAAATGGTTCTAAATGCTGCTGTTTACTTTACAGGGTTGATTACATGTGTTTATGACTGTGATGTTGGGTTTTAATGCACATAAAATATTTTAGGACACTATTTGTTTCAGAATCTTTTTTTCTTCATTTCCCTTCTCTAAAAACTGGTGCGTCTTATGGTCCGGAGCGTCTTATGGTCCGAAAAATACGGTATATTGAGCATCAGTATTGTGTAGAGCTTGGGATCTGACTGTTAAAAAAAAAAAAAAAAAAAAAAAAAAAAAAAAGCTAGGAAAAGTTGGGCTAAATCAGTAAGAATAGCTATTATTAAACAAGTGTCTAGGGTGTGTCAGGTATTGTGCTAAAGATGCTATTTATAATATGTCACATGTCTTAGATAACATTATGGTAGATATTATTATTGTCATCACTTTATAGATGAGGAAGTGGAAGTCAGAAAGGTCATGTCCTTGGTCTGCAGTACTCAGTGGTGAATGGCAGAGGCAGGATTTGAAAGAGAGTTAGGGAGATTTTGAGAGCTTTGTTTTCAGAGGAACCAAGGGCTAAATTTGGCCTGGAAAAATCTAATGGGACATTTGAGTGTCCAAGGAGGGATATTCTGTGCAGACGATAACTGTCTGTCATAACATTTCCTGTATAACTTCCACTCTCTGTCTGCCAACTACACTGCTCCCTGCTCTCCCCCTGCTCATGTACCTGGAAGGGCTTAGAAGTGCCTCTCTCCCCCACCCATCCTCTACATTCCCTGTCTCCCCCTCCCCCCACCCCTAATGGACATCTCACCCTGATGGACATCTCACCCTGATGGCACTTCTCTTCTCACCCTGTCTGGCTGGCCTCTCTGTTCTAAGTTTTCTCACTTCCAGAAATGCCAGCCTACCACCCACAGATAAGTTATCCTGAAGCACCTCTGCAGTGTCGCCCTTGGCTCAGAGACCTATACCATCCCTCCCTCCAAATGAGCATTCTCTTCTCTTCTACAATGTATTTTATTATTATTTTATTGATTTGAGAGAGAGAGAGATGGATTGATTTTTGTTCCAGTTTATTTATGCAACCATTTGGTTGATACTTGTATGTGCCCAAACCTGCAACTTTGGCATATCAGGACAACACTCTAACCACTGAGCTGCCCAGCCAGGACCTGCCCTTCCTCTTCTTGACTTTTCTCTAGCCCACCCTGCCCCTCCACCCTTACCCTTTGCCTAGCCCTCAAGAATGCCCCAGCTCCACCCCATTCTTCAAGGCTCACCCCACCCACTCTATGAAGGTTCTCAGGAATCACCCCTCTGTGGGCAGCTCCAATACTCCCTATTTGCATCTCCCAGTGTAACTCTTTATTCTTCTCTACTTGTATCGTATATGTCTCTTTCTTCGGCCTTTAGGGATATATATCCATTTCAGAGAGGAAGAGAGAGAGAAACATCAATGATGAGAGAGAATCATTGGTTGGCTGCCCCTTACATACCCCGCACCAGGGATTGAGTCTGCAGCCTGGGAATATGCCCTTGGCCTGAATTGAACCTGGGACCCTTCAGTCCGCAGGCCAACGCTCTATCCACTGAGCCAAACCGGCCAGGGCAGGATCTTCTTAAGAACTCATTCAGAAAATATTTCCCAAATGTCTCTGTGTGGCAGGCACTAGGCTGCATTCAATGTGGCAGAGGCAGCTTGGCCTTGATCTCTGGCTGCTACCTCCTTCCACATCCTGTGGTTCTTTATAGTTGAATGGGACCAAGGAGGGCCAGAGACTTGAGCCTGAGGCCTCCATGTTCCTTGGAGCGAATGTGTTCCTTCAGGCCTGGGCCCATCTGGGGTCCAGACAGGCCTAGTGCTCAGCGGGGGAAGGAGGCTGCAGACTGCAGTGGGAGGTCCAGCCAGCACTCCTAGAGAATGTGACCCAGTGTCACCCCATGCAGGAGAAAAACAACAGCTGTAGTCTTCAGAGTAGAAAAAATAAATATCCAACGTCCCACCAACCTCTAGCAGCGATTCTCATTTTCAAATATTTGTCCAGTCCCAAGTTTTTGCCTGGGACAATTTGAATGTGTGGGTGCCTTGTACTGTTTGAACGCGGGCGACTCCACATAATGGAACCTTGTAGAATAATCTAGTCATCGTAATAGCGGTCATGATGTGGTAGAGAGGAGTACGGTTTCCCTGCTCTCTTAGTTATTCCTCCCTGTTCCTCAGTACTGCTTCCCCTGGCCGGTGAGTATACCCGTCTACCATGGTTTGCCTCGTGAAGCAAATATTTCTTTTCTAGCTCATGAGCAAATATTGACCTGCTCAGGTTTTTGAAGCCACCCCTCGAAATGCCTGCGAGGCTAGATAAACACACGGGGGTAACAGCTCTTGAAAATAAGAGTTGCTTTTGGACAGGCTATAACACAAATGACTCACTCACAGAGTCCTCGCAATGGTCAGCACTGTGCTGGTCTCCCGGGCCCTGACTCCAGGCAGACAAAAGAAGGGCACTGGGCCCTGCCCTCCCTCTGGGAGCTTGTGGCCCAGTTGGGGAGGTAGACTCATGAGCTGGGGATGCCTGGAGGTTGTGTGCAAGGATCCTGAATGAAGATTCTTACCTGAGTAGGAGGTGGCCCGCTGTAACCACCAGATTCCTTTCCTTTCTGTGGTTTTAAGTGGAATTCAGTCAAGTGCCAAAGTGTCTACTGCAGACAATGGACAACATGGCGTGGCAGGAAAGGGAGCTTGGCCAATGTTCTATGGAGAGGAGAGGAGAAGAGGGATGGGCTGCGGGGAACTAGAATGGGAGGAGGGAATTGCTGTGGTTTGTTAATCCTCTCGTATTCATCTCCCCCGACCTGTGCCTCAACCTGCTCCTGGACCTCCAGCTCTCCAACCAGGACCTCCTGCCCTGGGTCTCTCTCAGCTGCACGTGTCCAAAGCCCAGTTCTTTTCTTGTTTGTGACCCAGGCTTTTTTCCTCTCCCCTGTCCTCCCAACCTCCCCCAAATTGGACCCTGCATCTCCCTTACCAATCCTCTGAAATGAGCTGGGTACTTTTGTTGTATAAGATCCAAGCCTGATCTCGTCTGTGTGAGTTGGACACCAGGGAAGATTCTGGCTAGCTGGGAGGCCAAAGGTCAGAGGCCAGGAAGCTGAGGTTCCAGGCAGAAAAGGACTCAGCTTCGAGCATTGATGTGGGCAGGGCAGGCCAGTAGGCAGAAGTGGCCTGACCACTCAGAGGCCCAAGGAGGGAGATCTGATCTCCGTTTGTGTCTTTGTGTGTGTGTGTGGGTTAGGCAGAGGCGATGACGTGCAATGGTCCAGAATTACATGTCTAGCTCTGTGGGGTGGGTCTTTCTATCTGGCCTCTAGCCAAGTAGCTTGGTTTCCTCTTTTTTGCTGGGGGGAGCCATTGGGCCAGTGTGCCATTCTAGAACCATAGGTTAGAGGCCTATGCTAGAGCAGGAGAGAAAAGTACCTGCTTTTGTGGAAGGGTGGGGTTCTGGGAAGATCCCATCCTTAGAGGAAGCTGGCTAACCTAGGACCTGCTTTGATGGGCAAGAGGAGGGTCCTGTGAGCCACCCACACCCAGGAGGTGGGCCCTTTACTCCACACATATATCCTTACATCAGTGTTTCCCAAACTTTTGACATATGTGTACCCCTTCTATAATTTTCATAATGCTGAGTACCCCTGGTACTCATGAGAACATAGAATTAGGCGCAGCTAAGCACGGTGCAGTGCATATCCCCACCACACTCCAGTGCAACCCGTTCCCCCACCAAACTCTTCCCGTACCCCTGGGGGTACGCGTACCACAATTTGGGAAACACTGCCTTACATGAAAGATGCTGTTTCCCCTGCCATACATCACACACACACACACACACACACACACACAACACACCTAGATTTCAGTACTAGGTGAGGGCCGGGTGGGGACTTCATTCAGCCCTGACCTTGGGCTTTGTGCCCAGGCAGGGGAAAAGTTGGAGCAGTGCCAGCGGCAGGCGGACGAGGTGACGGAAATCATGCTCAACAACTTTGACAAGGTCCTGGAGCGCGATGGGAAACTCTCGGAGCTGGAGCAGCGTTCAAACCAACTCCTGGACATGGTGTGAGGCCTGGGGAAGCAGGGAGGGGGGAGGGAGAGGCCAGCGGGAGCCCTGATAGGGAGCTCATAGGCTGTGCTCAGGAGGCCCTCGGTGGGACTGAAGGGCCAGGGTGGAGCCTGTGGGTTTCTTGAAGCCCCTAGCCTAGACAGGCAATGGGAAGGCCTTGGTTTGAAGCTGTGGAGCTTCCTAAAGTTGAAAACTGGCATTAACCGAAGGTTAGCCCAAAGGCCTGCAAGTTAAGGGCTACACCAGTGTCTGAGACAAGGAGTCAGGCTGGGAGGCAATGTGGGGAGAGGGAGCAAACAGATGGAAAGGATGCAGGAGGAGACTACACCTTGCTGGGGCCAGGAAGGCTGAGGTTCCAGGCAGAAAGGGACTCAACTTCGGGCACTGATGTGGGAGCAGGTCAGGCCACGAGGGTTGGGAGGAGCTGGCTTCAGGTCTCTAGGGAACCACTAACTCCTGTCCTGTGTCTGGGGACATCTACAGAGCTCAGCGTTCAGCAAGACAACCAAGACCCTGGCCCAGAAGAAGCGATGGGAGAACATCCGTTGGCGTGTCTGTTTGGGGCTGGTGGTGGGCGGTGGCCTGCTCATCATCCTGATTGTGTTGCTGGTCATCTTTCTCCCACAGAGAAGTGAGGGCAGCAGTGGCCCACAGGCCCAGGACTCAGGTCCTGCCTCGAGCCCTGGGGGCTGACCCACTTGGGCCTGGAGAGGCCAAATGGCCACACTGGCTGATTCTGGTCCCCAAAGAACATTGGCACCTGCTCCTATCTGAGCCACCCGAGTGAGCGCCTGAAGGCAGCTCCAAAGTGTGCACCTTTGCATCTCCCATCACGCCACTGACTGGCCCTGAGGGCAACCTGCTGCACTGGCCACGCCAGGCCAGCCCCACTTGGAGCTCAGTAAACACTGCTGCTTGGTTAAAAAGTGCTGTTTGGTTAACAGCTGGTGTGTGTGTGTGTGTAGGTCTCCAGGTTGTTCATTCTGCTCTGCTTCCACCCCTTGGGCTGCTTAGGCTACCACCCCAAGGACTCCATCCGGGGGAAGTGGCCCCTTCCTCTCACTTCCCTACTTGATCCAGCCCTGCACAGACAGGTCCTTCTGCAGTGCAGGGGTAAAGGCACAACCGCCCCCAATCCAGACCCTTCACCTGGTGTTTGCTGAGTCCGTTTCCCAGAGAATGAAATCTGTTATTATTCTGATGTCTTGTGGGGTGCTCAGAGGACCAATGGGACTCCAGATGGGATGACAAAGAGGGAAGCACTTCAGGTGTTTTTTATATCACAAGGTGAGAGGCGAGGCTTTTTGTCCTCTGAACACTTCCTCCTTCCCAATTTCTCTGCCCCTGGTTTTCCGAAAGCTTTGCATCGGATCACAGATGAGGCAGGTGGTGGTGAAACCGGGAAGGGTTTCTGTGGTGTTGTGATGCAGTACAAAGGATGGCTTACGGCTTGGGGACTGAAAGGTCCCGGGTTCAATTCCGGTCAAGGGCATGTACCTTGATTGCGGGCACATCCCCAGTAGGAGGTGTGCAGGAGGCAGCTGATGGATGATTCTCTCTCATCGATGTTTCTAACTCTCTATCCCTCTCTCTTCCTCTCTGTACAAAATCAATAAAATATATTTAAAAAAAAAAAAACCAAAACAAAACAAAAACAAAAAAAACAAAAACAAAGGATGGCTTGGAGTTTGCCCTATAGGAGAGGATTTGGGCTTTTTAAAGCTACAGGGCTACACAGGGCCAAGAAGGCAATGCCTTCGGGGCCACAGGAGAGATCGTTGGGTAAAGGCCATGGAAGAAGGAAAGAAGGCCCTGCCAAGACTGTGGACGCAGAGCAACCCAACCCTGGGCGACTTAACTGCATTTCAAACTCAAGTGTGGGAAGGAAGGAGAATTCAGGGTCAAGTGTGTAACAGAAGCAGTTCCTAGTTAAGTAGAGAGAAAGGGCTACTAGAAGAGAAATAAGAACAAACCTGAGAGCTGTGTGGACCCCTCACAAGAGCTCACTGCTTTTTTTTAAAACACATTTTATTGGTTTTCTACAGAGAGGAAGGGAAAGGGATAGAGAGCTAGAAACATCGATGAGTTCTCTCATCGATCAGCTGCCTCCTGCACACCTCCCACTGGGGGTGTGCCCGCAATCCAGGTACCCGCCCTTGACCGGAATTGAACCCAGGACCCTTCAGTCCGCAGGTCGAGGCTCCATCCACAGAGCCAAACCGGTCAGGCTCATTACTTCTTTTAAAAAATATATTTTTTATTTATTTTTACAGACAGGAAGGGAGAGGGACAGAAAGTCAGAAACATCCATGAGAGAGAAACATCGATCAGCTACCTTCTGCACACCCTCTATTGGGGATGTGCCCGAAACCAAGGTGCATGCCCTTGACCAAAATCGAACCTGGGGACCCTTCAGTCTGCAGGCCGACGCTCCATCCATTGAGCCAAACTAGCTCATTATTTCTGAGGTAGGATAGTAAGCTAGGAAAATTCCTTGGCAAGTGGAAACTCAGACAGAGAGCTGAACAAATGGGTCAAGCATTTCCCGCCAAGTTACACATGGTCACGAGGGCAGAAATCCCCGAGGGTTTAGCAATGAGCAAGATTGGTGCCAGACCTCAAACCCAGGGTGGCTTTTCCTGCCTTGGCATATCGATGGCTGGTATCTATGCAGTTTAGACCTCCCTGACTTTTCCTCCCTAGAGGTAACACCTAGGCCTCAGCTGTATTTCAGCTCCGGCTTAGGAAAAAACAGCAAAATCAGATGGGTGACACTAGGACCAGCTTCGATTACTAATGATCCTCTGCCCTGGCGCCGACCAATCAGGGGAGACCACAATCCTGAAAGGATACACCTGGAAAAGCTGAGGAATATTCTAATGAGATCCTTCCCTAAAACTTCCCCTAAACCCTCAGCCTTTAAAACCCCCCAAACTTAGGACCCTAGTGTACACTCTCCCTCCCAGGAATATGTCCGGGCCTTTCTTTCCCCGGAGGCATGCCTCTCCTAAACTCTAAGGAACCCCGTGAGAATTGTAACCAGGGGAGCACTGGGCAGCGGCAGCTCATCCAAGGCTAATGCCCTGCCCCGAACCTCTCTCCAAGGCCCCATTTTCTCTGACTCTCCAGGGAGCTGACAGCAGCCTCTCCTTGGCTCACTTTTTTCTGGAGAGCCAAAGCAGCCCCGCCAAGGCTCTCTCGGATGGCTTCTTCCATCCTAAGCTGTTCCTTGTTTCACTTCCCCCAGCTTTAATAAACATATCCTCAAAAGCACCTGGACTTGCTTAGTGAACTCTTTCCCACACGATGAAGTCAAGAGCCCACACACTACAGCCCATCCAGCAGACCAGCTCCGGCCAGGTCCCTGTCTGGTAACTGTCCCAGTGAGATTATTACCATCTTCCTGGCCCTGGGAAAGATGGAGGAGAGCACTAGGCCTTCATTTAGAGGCCACATGAACTTGGGCAAGTCACTTCCTTGGCTTGGGTTTTATGTGTGTAAAAGGGATAATAATATTTATCTCCCATATCCATCAATGTAAGGGTTCTAGGTGGCAAATAAATGGTAGCTGTAAATCAAATCATTTAGTGCTGTGGTCCTCAACCCTGCCTCACATTAGAATCACATGTAGAACTTATAAAAAATACCACACCCAGGCCTAGATCAGTTAAATCAGAATCTTTGAGGGTTAAATCTAAACAGAAAAAAAAAATTTTTTTTTCCTGAAGCTGAATCCCCTCTCCAGGAGACTCATGAGTAGTCAGGGATGCAATCTATTAGATCTGATCAAATAATCGAATCGATCTCACCTCCCATGGGAAACTGACCTTTAGGTCATTTCCCAAGCCACATTCACTTTTGCATAGACCACATCCCTTTTGCTTAGACCACATCCCATTTGCTTAGACCACATCCCATTTGCTGAGACCAGTAACTTCTCCTTCGTACTTGCCCAGGATTCGCAATTCCCTGCTGAAAAAGCCTGCCTAGAGTCTAACTCCCCTTCTCTGGGTGCTCAGCCCATCTAATTTTCTGATGACCTAATAAATTAATAATTCTTTAAAAAATATATTTTATTGACTTTTTCAGAGAGGAAGGGAGAGGGATATAGAGTTAGAAACATCAAGGAGAGAGAAACATTGATCAGCTGCCTCCTGCACACCCCCTATTGGGGATGTGCCCGCACAACCAAGGTACATGCCCTTGACCGGAATCGAACCTGGGACCCTTCAGTCCGCAGGCCGACACTCTATCCACTGAGCCAAACCGGTTCGGCTAAATTAATAATTCTTTACCACTTTTGGCCTCCCGAGTACCTCCTTCTAGGACCGAGAAGTTGAGCAATGGTCTGAAGGTCACACTGATAGACAGGAGCAATTAAGGCCCTAGATTCCCCATCAGGGATACTCCCTTTCTTGGTTGAAAATGAGCCTTTAGAAAGGTGTGTGTGTGTGTGTGTGTGTGTGTGTGTGTGTGTGTGTGTGTGTGTGTGTGTGTGTGTGTGTGTGTTGGGGTGCGGGGCAGGGGCGGGAAGATAGGGGAGGATTCAAAAGCCAACTTCTGAATTCAAGAGCTCAGGAGGTGCATTAGTGCCCGGTGGGCCCCGGGCAGGGCAGCGGGAAGCGCGGACTCCTTTCTGCGCCCCCGGACCAGTGCCTCCGCCTGAGAGGCCTTCAACGTCTGAATTGCCGAGACCCTCTGAGCCGCAGAGCCGACTGAGGACACCCTACCTCCCAAACACCCGGCTTTTCAGGGCGCCCCACACGTCACTCCTCGTACCTATCCACCTGGGCTCGGATTCCAAAATAAAAGTTTTCTCATCAGCCCCGGCCCCTGCCATTGGCTTTAGCCTTTGGCCACCTGACTTACTCAGGCCAATGAGAGGTGAGAGCGTTAATACTTCCGCTTTTCGTGCGCGTAAACACCCACTGCGCCCGCCTTTCGGGTGCTCTGATTGGCCGCCTCCTCTCACCTCGCTAGTGTATTGGCTGGAGCCGCGAAGCCGCAGTCCGCGGGGTCTGGGCACTGCTGTGTCAGAGATGGCTTCCTACTTCGACGAACATGACTGCGAGCCGCTGGACCCCGAGGGGGATGCCCGAACCAACATCCTGCTGGAGATCGCGAGGTGGGTGCGCGGGGCCGGGCGGCGGCTCCGGGCGCAGGTGTCTGGGTCGGGGCCGACTGGGGAAGGCGGGTTACCCGGGGCGGCAGAGTCCGGATGGATGTTCTGGAGTTAGTCCGGAGGCTCGATTTAAGGGAAAGTGGATTCTTTGGCTCGACCGCAGGCCTCTCGGTAAGGGGTTTCGGGAAGACGAGCTGGTGGACTGGGGCAAGTCGGGCTGGAGGTGGGCGAAGGGAGCCGTGGGGGCGTGGCCGGGTGAGTGCCGGGCGGAGGAACCACGAGCTCGCCGGCCCTGTCACTTGGAATCTGGCTTCCCAGGTCCTTCCTGCGTGGCCCGAGTAGCTTCTCGGAGCCTGTTGGTTGCCTCATTTGCACAATGGGAATAAACAGCCTGCGTGGTTGGGGCTGTGACAGCAGCTGTAAACCATTTCTCGCTCTGCTCTTAATTTAGTGATTGGGGTACTGATTGGGGTAGCTGTTAACTAGCTGGAGAGGGTTTTAACCTATGGACGCCGGGTAAATTGTGGAGGCAAAGAGATAGTATGGTTTTCTGACCTTGCGCCTTCTGCGTAGGTCTCTCTTCAACAGTGTGGACTTTGGAAACCTGGGGTTGGTAGATTGGGATGACCACCTGCCTCCACCTGCTGCCAAGACTGCGGTTGAGAGCCTCCCCAGGACCGTCATCAGGGGCTCTCGGCCTGGTGAGAACACTAATTCTTTCTGCTCTTTGAGGCAGGGCTGCCAGACCTCACCCTCCTTATTGCCACTCCTCCTCCACCCCCCAAGCCAGACTGTGGACTGGCCCTTTCAGTTTTCCAGGCCAGGTTGGGGCAAGTGACCTTTAGGAGTGAGTGGGAGCTGGGAGGTGGGGCTGTCCAGCTCTCCTGATCAGCCCTCCCTCCTCAAGAGCTCAAGTGCCCCGTGTGCCTTTTGGAATTCGAGGAGGAGGAGACTGCCATTGAGATGCCTTGCCATCATCTCTTCCATTCCAACTGCATTCTGCCCTGGCTAAGCAAGGTACTGCTCACCCTGCCCAGTTCTCCAACCCCTTTATTTTTATGAACCGTTTTGGGAATCAGAGAAGGAAGAAGGGTCAGGATGAGAATTGGGAGCAGGGGATGGATATTAGCTTAGAAAGACCAGACCTGAGCTAGAACACTGCTGGTTTTTTCCCCCCCAGACAAATTCCTGCCCGCTCTGCCGCCATGAACTGCCCACTGATGATGATACTTATGAAAAGCACAAACAGGATAAGGTAAGGGCTGGTGGTAAGTAGCGAGGGTGGCTCCCTCTGGCTGTCCTCGATGCTCTCATCTCCCAACTCAGCAATGCTGGGGAGGCCTCAGGCCCCCTGGCCCTGGCTGCTTTCTCAGTAACTTCAGTGAGGAGCACCCAGATACCAGGGGCCCGAAAACAGTGTGAGCCAGTTCCATGATAGCTGGCCCATCTATTCACCCACTGGCCTTCCGCTATGTCCCCCGTCTCTTTCCTTCAGGCTCGCAAGCAGCAGGAGAAGCACCGACTGGAGAGCCTGCATGAAGCCATGTACACATGAAGCAGCTGGGGCCACGCATTGGTCCTCCACGTCCTCCTCTTGCACCTCAGACCCTCATTAAAGGTTTCTTTACACACAGTGCGGCTGCATTGCTTAGACTAGGGCCTATTGCACCTTCCACTAGGGCCCTCCTGCTGCTGGCGAAGATGGGCCTGGACTGCAGAAGGCACCAGGCTGCACATCCTTCCTTGCCAAGCCTGCTGGCCTGAGGGCACTGGAGCCCAGGCCACTGGAAAGCAGAATGTGTCATGATCTGGCACCCAGTAGATACTTAAGATGTGTTCCTTCACCCCTGTAATTTTTAGTTAACATTGAAATTCCAGGCGCTTTCTTTTTGTTCCTAACATTTTTAAAGTCATTCTTTATGTGCTCCCCACCCCCATCCCCTAAGGAATCAAATTTCAAACCAGACTCTGAGTGGGGAAAGTTTATGAAATGATCAGATAGTTGGTTCTTAAGCCCAAAAAGGGTTTCAAGCCCTGGAGGGATGTTTGGCTAGTACCTGTCATCCTTTTTGGAGGCAGCCCTGCTCTCAGAGCACCTGGCCCTCGGGACTCTCCCTATGGGTGTTCTTTGCCTAGGGAAAGCTGTCCTAAACCAGGCCCTCTGACTCTCCAAAACAGACTACAAACATGCAAATCAGAATTATTTTAATAGATATATATATATATAAAAAAGTACTAAAATTCCCACATGGTTCTGCTGTGCTACTTGCCCTAAAGAATATAAGGGGCAGAGTGAAGAATCCCAGTGCAGGTCAGTAGGCCCCAAAGTGGGCCTTCCCACAGACTAAGGTGTGCTCACCCTCCCCCCCACCCCCCATCACTCTCCCTCTTGCTGTTCCCAGCCCCCAGTTCCTGCAGCAGGAAACCCAGTGGTCTGACCTCGGCACTGGGTACGAAGGCACCTGAAGGGTGGCTGGGTGACTGAGGATGTGTGACCTTTAAACATAAAGACAGTATTGGAGTGGGGAGCTGCCAGGGCCCGCTCCTCTATGGCACAGGTGGATGTGGGATGGCCACTCTTCCAAGAGTGAGGAAGCCTATATCCCAACCGAATACTTTCTCAAAATTGTTTTTGGTACAAAATGAATGCAGAGAAGACGTGGGGAGTACTGGGGGCTGGGCCAGCCGCCCTCCCCAGCCCTCAGATCATGGCGATGCTCTCGGGGGCGCAGTTGAGGTGAGTGGAGGTGCTACTGCTCCCGGAGGACTTGCAGGCCCGCCCAGCAGGCTGCAACGCAGCCACCAGTGTCTCTGAGGAGACGGCCCCAAACTCATAGCAGAAGGTGCCGTAGAAAATGAGGATGTCGATGACAAACACCCACTCGCACAGGGCTGCCCCGTGCTGCAGCTGAGAGCTCTCGTGGATGAAGAAGACGCCGCCTGGAACGGTGCTAAGGAAACGCTCGGGAGGACCTGTGGGGACGGAAGACCGCTGCCTTCCTGGATATATAACTAGGCTGGGGCAAAGGATGGGCCCTGAACTCCCAGGAGCGGGAGCAGAGCCCACCTGGATGGTCTCCCTCGTCTTGGGCGAGAGAAGGGCTGGGCTAGAGGACTTCCTGGCGGCCCTGTCCTGGAAGGATACTGAGGATCAGGACGACAAAGGCGATGGCTGCCAGCACAATCCGCAGGTAGGCCATAGCCAGGTCCTGAGGGGCGGCGGCTCCGTGGTAGGAGAGGACACAGTGCAGGCAGACAAACAGCAGCCCGGCGGGGAAGGCCACACCAGCTCCCACGTAGTGCAGAGACTTGGCATGATCCACCTGGGCCCAGGGAGAGGTGCTGAACAGTGAAGCAGCCCTGTCCCTCTCCCCTTCTCGTTCCCTCCCAGACCCCCTTCCCCACCCCCAACTTTGAGGGGCTGCCCCTGCAGCTTGTGTCAACCCTCAGGAGCCGGAGTCCCTGCAGACAGCCATGCCCTTTCAGGGGAAGTTCAAGAGGTCGAGGGGCTGGGGAGCGGTGTACCTGAAAGTTTCCAACCACCACGAGGCCTGCAGCGTTGGTGCAGCCTGTGATGAGTGTTGTGGTGTTAATCCAGGAATGCCGACTCTGCTCCAGGAGCTGCCCGTAGAGCAGGAGGCAGAGCAGGGCCACTGGGGAAGAGCATGGGTGGAGCCGGCATTAGTGCCTTCCTCTGGCCCCGCCCTGTCCAGGAGCCCGCTTCTCTCACCCCGCCGGACACTTTGAGGGCCAGAGGGAAACGATGGGGGTGGTGAACTGGGTTTCCTCAGGCTGTGTGGGGTCAGCCTCTAGTCTTTAAGGAGCAGGGAGAGAAGTGGCCCCTTTTGCTTTAGCCCTTGGTTGGGCGGGCCGCGTTGAGCAGGGCTTCCTGTGCCCTCCTGGGGGGAAGGGTGTTGGGGTGGGCCGGACTGGGCTGGCTAGGGGCTAAGGGCACAACTCACCCATGAAAGCACCCACGTTGCCAATGAGGCTGAAGAGGCAACTCTCTGGGGGATATGTGCCGCACTTGCTGAGGGGAGGGGGCAAGGACAGAGTGAGAGGGGCAGGCGCACCAGAGGGCCCCCATTCTGGCCCACTCGCCTTCTCTTGCTTCATCTGTGCCCAATTTAAGCCACCGAGAAGGACCAGTGTCTTTCACAAACAAATGGTCCTCAGTGGTAACCCCTCCCCTACAGAGCTCATGTGTGTGACAAGTTAGCGAGGACCCAGGATTGCTTAGCAAACCCCAAGACTCCTTGGACTCCCTGAGACTGTTAAGGCCTGTAGCTGGTTTGAGCCAGAAGGTGGGCCAGGCAATCAGAGGCCTTGAGCTTAAACGCAGGTATGTCACCTGGCTGGTATGGTTCAGTGGTTGAGTGTCGACCTGTTAACCAGGAGATCAAGGTTCAATTCCATTGGCCCCAGGTTGTGGGCTTAATCCCCAGTGTGGGGTGTGCAGGAGGCAACCAATGGTTCTCATCATTGATGTTTCTATCTCCCTTCCTCTCTGAATTCAATAAAAATATATGAAAAGTAAAAAAATCCGGGCAGCTCCACTAACTAGCTATGTGACCTGAATGGACGACATAACTCAGTTTCAGTTTCCTTGCCCATAAAATAGAACAATAGCTGCCCCAATGCTGGCAGGATTAGTTGTCATACATGTAACGTGTTCCGCACAGTGCCTGGCACATAGTAATTGGAAAGCAGTACTGTTACTAAGTGCTCTTAATATAATTATTATTCCTGTGAAATCCTTTGGGTCAGGCCCGTTGGAGGGGCTTGGCTGGGAGTCTATCAGGGCCTTGGGTCTCTGATCTGCCCAGTTCCAGGCCTTACCTGATGAGGGGGACATCGTCCAGGGTGCAGCAGCTTTTGGGACCCCCTTGCTCAGTAGGGTCAGGAGAGCAGGACTCGTTGTAGGACCTGGAGGCAGGACAGAGTAGATTGGGGGAACCCTCTGGCCTGTACATCAGGCCTCTCAGAGACCACCCTCCCGGACCTCCCTTATCAGGGGCAGGAGAGCCCACGTCCCAGGGCCTGCCTGAGACAGAAGCCAAGGGGGCAGAGGGATGGTGGAAAGCAGTGGGCACGAAGCCATGCCTGGGGGGGCAGGCGCGCCAATGTCAGAGAAGAGCAGTGACCCCGCGTCTCCGTCTGGCTCGCAGCAGCCCCGGCCCAAGAGGGAACAGAGATGAAGGGAGCTTTAGAGTGAGGCTGTCTGCAGAATACGCCATACCAGTTCTCCACAGGGCACACGTGGCGGTTCATCACGGCCATGGCATACCTGTGGGAACAGAACTGTCACCCCATGACCCCAGCCCAGCCCAGCCCAGCCTTCCCCCACCAACTATTCTCTTCTCCCTCGATTCTGGCCCCGTTCATGATCATTGCCCCTGCAGGTGACTCAGGTTGGGATGGCCCTGATGCCACACCAGAACCCAAAGCAATGGCCACAAACAAGAGGCCCTCTGGAAGTTGCCCTGGCTAAAAGTATGCCTGTCAGGGCCACCTTGCTGGACAGCAGTGGTGCCAGCCTGTCCCAAGGGACTTGTCCAGGCATCAGGCCAGGGTTTGGAGACAGCCAGAGTGACTGGGGGTATCACCCTGCGGCCTGCAACAGGACAAGGGACTTTGTGTGCGCCACCAAGCTCCTGTTGGGTCCTGGCGGGGGCCCTGTCCCTCCTCAGCCTGGGCCCATTCTGTCTCCTAGTCGTCTCCCCCTTCCCCTCTACTCACACAGTCCATAGGCCAGTGATGGAGAATGCTGATAAGCTGACCGGGAGGAGGATCCAGGCGGTCATGAGGGAGGGGAGCCAGGGTTGTAGTGGTGTGGGAGGGATGACAAGAGGTAGGTGGGGAAGAGGGGGGCAGTCCCAGCTACCTTAAGATACTTCGCCAAAACCATCAACTGCCCCGGCCTGGTGGAGAGAGATGGGTCAAAGTCCAGGGTCCAGTGAGTGGTGAAAGCCGCGGGGGCACGGGGTATGGGTGGGGAAAGGAAGGTGGTCATCACCTGATTCGGAGCTCCCGCCGGCACCCGGAGTGCCCACACCGAGCTCAGCCCACGCCAGAACGTGGCCACCCTCTGACACCGACCGGGGGCCTCCGCGTCCCACCCCCAAGTCACCGGCACTCGGGGGCTTAGGTGGCGCCATAACATTTGGACAGCGAGTCCCCCTCCCTCCCCTGAGGAGCGGGGCTGGCAGCCGAGCAGCAGGAAGGACGGCCAAGGGGCCGAGTCAAAGGAAAGCCCGGGGTGGGTGCAGGCCCGGTAGACGGGCGGCCACACGCCCGCAAACCCGCGACCACTGCGCCCTGGAGAAGCGCGGCTCCCCCGGGAAGCCAACCCCGGCCCCTGCCCGGGGGGGCGCCTGGAGCCCGCGGGAGGCGAGTCCCGGGACCTGGGGCAGGAGCCTCCTTTGTGATCCCTGGAGGGTCCCGGGAAGCAGGGGCCAGTACGCACCTCCCCGGAGCGCCCAGCGGCTGCGGCGCGCTGTCCAGCCCCGCGAGGCGCCGTCCCGGCTGCGGCCCTCCGAGCGGCCCCGGGGGTTTAAAGGGCCGGCGGCCCCGCCCTCGCCCTCGGCCGCGCCCTCCCCCTGGGCCCCGCCGCGGCGCCTGCCGGGACGTGGAGTCCGAGCCGACGGTGCCCCGAGGCCCGCGCTCCGCCCAGGACTACAACTCCCGAGGCCCCGCGCCCAGTGGAAAGGGGGCGGCGCCCCAGCTTCGGGGGAACCTGGGCGTGGGGACCGTGGCGTGGGACTCAATGGCAGCTCTGTCTCCGAGATGCAGGAAGGAGAGTCCTGTGGCCCGGGTTCCTGCTGTGGAGGCTTCGGGAGGCGGGAGGCTGGGGGGTGCACCTCCTTCCAGCTCCACCTGCGATCGCCCTGGCGCACGTGGCTGAGGGAGCCTGCGCCGCCGCAGGGCACATTCCGCTGCAAGTGCGAGTTCAGGTTATCTCTCCTTCTGGCGCCGGCGCCTGCCCTGTCCCAGGCAGCGGTCTGCAGGGAAGCCTTAGCTATGCCTTCCAGTCAAGCGCCCTGGATTTGGCTTATGCTTTCGATTCCGCAAACTCTGGAGGATGCTACTCGCACCGGATGCATTTTCAAGGGAACGAGCAGACAGAATACTACTGTCCAGAATTCAGTGTCTAAAACATGTTACCTAACTGCTCAACACTTAACCAATGGATTATCCATTCTGAGTAGACCCACATGGCCAGGTGTTGGTAGGTAACAGGAAGGTGGGCGACCCAGAGCAATTTGGGAAAAGGAAGCAGACTGAGTGTGGGAATAAATTACCCCTCCAGCTTCACCAAAACTTACAGGCCAGGAGTGCCCTCTTGGTTCCTTTCCTAATTAAAAAGGCAGAAAGAATACTTCTTTGCACATACCAGAAGGTGCCCGGCGCTCTAAAAGGAAGCCCATCTTTTGTCTGTTGAGAGCCCCTCTGAGACAACACTGGGGCCAACAGATCATCTACCTGAAGGAAGCATGGGCCCAGGCTGCCAGAGGGCCGTTCTAGGGAAAGGTTAAATGGCTGGTACTGTTAGGGAAATGGAGCAGATAAACCAGAAATGGCACTGACAAAGGAGAAACCCCTTTGAACCCAGTGACAGTTCAAAATGGGAAAAGGGGCCGAAATCGGTTTGGCTCAGTGGATAAAGCGTCGGCCTGCGGACTGAAGGGTCCCAGGTTCAATTCCGGTCAAGGGCATGTATTAATACCTTGATTGATGTTTTTCTCTCATCGTTGTTTCCAATACTCTATCCCTTTCTTCCTGTCAAAAATCAATAAAAAAAATATATATTTTTTTTAAATGGAAAAGGGGGAAAAATTAGTGGAAAAGGAAACCTGCTGGAGGGCCCTTTGCCAAATCCCATCAGGACAAGTAAAGAATGTTGGCACAGAGCCATTGCTGTACAAGAACACCAGGATGAATGGACCAGCGGGTGTAAAACTCAGAGCACCTTCTGCTGGCCATGCTCTGTGCCTCAGGAAAAAGGGGAGCTTCTTTCTAATTCAGACACCATCTCTGACTCCGGCGTGTTCCCACTGGTGCAAGCCCAGTTTCTCATCTGCCCAATGTTGTCATGAGCCCTCAGCATTTCCTACTACATCAGTAGCTTTGCCATTCATAACCAACACTATATCTTATTGATCTGGGTTTGTGTTCCTGTCCAACCTTTATCCCAGGAAGACCTGCGAGAACTGGCTGTTTTAACATAAAGTGGGTAGACAGGTGCTCCAGAGCTGTGAGGAGGACTATTTGGGCTTAATATGACAGTATGAGTAAGGAATTACCCTGCTAGAGCGCCCTGAGAGAATGGGGAGTTGGTAGGGGGGAGTTAGACAAGAAGTAGGTCCCGCAGTCAAAGTCCCTTCCAGCTCTAAAGCTACGGGAGTTACACTTCCACCAGGACAGTTCTTAAAACAGGCTAAGCAAGAGACGAGATTTCAAGTGCTGATTCTGTGGTGCTGAATGTTAGGAGCAGGCATTTCATCCTCACTTCCCTACACACACAGACGATTTCACAACCTTGGCAAAAACAGTGCTGTAAAAATAATGTTTATTGGTAAAAAAAAATTACAGTCTTTGAAAAGTACCTTCCCTTCAGGATTTTTCAAATAATTTGCATACTTTTTATTCATCTACATAGCAGAAACATTGAAACGAGAAAACAGACTATATGGCTTTTTATACATTTAACACCATAACGTAATAAGTGCAACCAGTCTGTCATTCTGGCGGCTCTGAGAAGGCAGGTTTTCACTTGTAGCTTCACTCCAATCACTGGGGAAATTTGGGCTGGGTGCCTATGGCTCGTTGGCCATCAAATTCCTCAGGAACAGAACAGGAATACAAAAAGAGAGCTTAAAATATTTTGAATAATTTTCAACATTCTATGGTGATTCTCCCAAAGGCTCTGAGGTAGGAAAATAATGTCTTTATTCCTCTTTCTGTAGTAAAGCCTTCATTTGTACTTATGAGTCAGCTGGGAATCCACTACCTGACCATCCACACCAAATACACAGCAGGTTGGATACCCACTACCCCAAAGGATTTCTTCCAGCTCTACAGGCTAACAGCTAGTTGGGAGTGCCCCTTAGGGTAGACCATGGAGACGGAATCTCTCTTTCAAAGGCTCTTCCATAGAGAGCATTTATTAATGCCCACGCTGGTCTGTCCTCCTAATGTCTGGCCAGGCTCCAGATTCCCTCTCTCTCTCACTCAATACAAAAAGCTTTACATTCTTTTCTTGCGTTATATTCATCAAAGATTTCCATGTTTGCCAACTGGCTGGAACTCAAGCGTTAGTGTTTATTTTTGCACAGCCCAAGCCCTATGCAAACCTCAGCTTCCTTCTATTTGTAACATTACCCACTTTGGGCCAGGAAACACAAAACCTTTAAATCCAAGGCTTAACTCTCAGTAAGTGAAGGAACACTTAATTTTGGATGGACATGAGATATGCCTATCAGGCTACCAGACTTTTTTTTTTTAAGACAGCCAAGAAATGTATCTAGTCAAGAGTGTTGAACCTGAAGCAGCCTGCTGGAAAGCTCCAGCCAGTCCAACACTGCTGTCCCTGCGCTCCACAAGGCAGGACAGTCCCCTGTGGGACAGATCTCCAGCCTGTGGAAACGCTCCGAACGTTGTCCTTCAAGGCAAAGCACCGATTTTTGGAAACAGCTGCCAGATGTCTGAAGGTAAGTCTGGTGAATAAACTGGTCAATACCATCTTAGATCCCAGGTGACGGGTGGCGAAATAAGCAATGAGCCTGTGCTAAAAAGCTGTCTGCTGGCCGAGGGCCATCACCAGAGAAGCATCTCAGGCACGCCTGGAGCAATGGCAGCCTCAGCACCAACAGTTCTGTTCTGCAGGACAACCTTGCATTTAAGTACCAGGCTCAGTGCTTTATATGGCCAGACTGCATAAATTAAGAATTAGATTTTTCTTGAGTGAAAAATATTTTATGATATGCAGAGTGCAAGAAAAATTCTACACATTAGAGCTCTCATTAGTTTCTTACCTGAGATTACATGACAAACACAGAAAGACAATAGGGACACACTTTTCTTCTCACAAAACAGGAAGAGAGGCTAAAATCTCTTCTGGTTTGGTTTCTAAATTTTGTAATAAATCCAGGAAGCAGGTCATCCAGCAGTGAGAAGATGAACCCCAAAGTATTTCCAGACTGGGAAGTCTAAGAGTTCCAGCGAAATCCTATGTCCAAGTCAGATCAGTTGAAGAGATGGAAGATTAAAATGACTGGTGCTCGGAGCTGCAGAGAAACTGGGATGATGGCATAGGCCCCCTGACCCAGGCTCTGGAGGGTAGTTAACGTTATGTTAAAAGGCACTTTGATTCCAACTAAATATAGAGGGCAAACTTTCTCCTTTAAGAATAGAACTGAGCCCAGGACCAGCAAGTTTAAGGCTTTTGACCTTGGGCCAGCTCTGTGGGTAGGAGCACTCTGGTCTCTTCACCACCAGGCCTTTCTAATTCACCTCATGGACGTTCCTGGCACTGTAAGCTCTGGCCACCTGCACTTGAGTAAGTAGTTTAAGAGTGGCCTCAGGTGTCTTTTAAAAATTGCTGAGATGGACCAGACAGACTGATCTTGAGACCCGATGTGGAGAAACCCCTGGGGCAGGCAGACTTTGGCTTCATGAAGTCTCAGTGCTCATGGGTTCACATAAACCCCAAATTTCAAATTACAAAAAAGGCTCCAATGTATTGGAAAACCGAAGTGGCTTGGAACTGCAGCGTAGATTTCTCAGATCTTTGGCCTAACCCTGCATTAGGAAAACCGTACACTTAAGCGAAAGCACTGATACTCCTGGGATTTTTATTATAAGGATCTGTTGGGAGACTCTATACTCTTAGGAGGCAGGAAAAGAGAATGGGGCAGGGAAGAGCAGATGAGAGGTTCATTTCCTCTGAGACGTTGTTTGGGCCTCGCCCCAACTCCACAACTAAGGTTCTAAATAGGCAATTATTGCTGTTGAATTGCTCTTTGTATCTATGTTCCAGACTGTTAAATCACATGTGGAGAGGCAGTTTTAAGCATATTTTGATAATTCCCCTTTAAGGGATGAGGCTGAAAGCTAGAATTCCATAATCCTAACCAAGGCAGGTTTTGCTGCAAGAAATCCTTGCAGTTTAGTTTTGGCATCATCTTCTTAGGTCTCCTTATCTAGACAGTGTAAAGCAGTGGGGCATGACGGAAACCTGAAAAAGCTATGGCAGGGGAGGGAGACATATTTGGGAGTTGGCCTAAAAAATGAACATCTCTCACTGGGCTGCTATCAGGATTACTGGGAGAGCATGTCAGAAAGGTAGGCCCACCCCCTCAACCCCCCATGACCCCAAACCTCCAAAGTCCTGAGCAGCTGGAGGTGCAGTCACATTGGGAGGTGAGGAGTGGGATGGAACTGATGGACTTGGAGACAAAAAGATGAAGGAAAGAACTAAGAAACAGTTGGAAAACAACAACAACAACACAAGATCTAGGAAAACATGAACATGAGCAGAAGCACGGTAGGAAGGAACCATAAAATAATACGGCTCATGGAGCTGGGTGAAGCAGCAGTGCCGGGTATCCCAGGGCATATGAACTCAGTGAGAAAGCAGCATGTTGACATAAGGTTCATAAACCTTGGCTCTCCCTGGAGTCTCTGCTTCTAGAACACCAAGCTAGCCAAACAAAACTCTCAAAAATTCCAACTCAGGATAATCAATGGGCCAATATACAAGGAAGGTGGTCAGGCATTGTCCCTGCAACACCCTTTTCTAGCAGCTCTGGGGTGTGTTTGTGCGTCAAGATCAGCCCAGACTGGTCCTGGCATCTCCAAACTAGGGAGCTCCCTGGGCAGTGACTCCAGCCTGGAGGGAATGCTTTCCGCCCGGTCAGTCTCGGCTCTGGCGCTTTGCCATCTCCTCCTTGATGCGCAACTTGAGGGCCTCTTGCATGGGTGGATCCAGAGGCGTGTGTGCGGACACCTCCTCACTCACCCTTCCTGGATCATCGTCCTACGTGGAGGAAGAGTCAGGAAGCTCAGGGTCTGGCCTCTTCTGGAAAGGCCACCTGCCCTGTCCCTAGACTACTCTCTTAAAGAACTCCATTTGACTCAAACTTGCCAGTGCCTGCTATTTCCCAGGTATCCCCTGGGACAGTGATTCTCAACTGAGGGCCATGAGCCCTCGCTGTGGCGCGCTGAGGACCCCTGTGTGACAGGAGTTGTGCTCAAAAGCATTGCCCAGCAGCTTATGCCCCCGGGTGGAGCAGGCACTCCCCTCTGACCCTGAGGAAAACAGTGGCTTGGGGCTGGCAGTAATTTCTACCAGTTCCAGGGAACTTCAGGCTGTAGCTGTTTCCACCAGGCGTACCTGATACACGATAACAGATGTGACCTCTCCGCTGTCCGCCTCATATTCTAAGCAGAAGAGCTGACGGCCAGAAGACTCTGGTTCGGAGCTGCCACTACTGCTTCTTTCACGGGACTCTTCACAGTCTGGGTTGCTGGGGTGGGTAGAGCCATCTGGAAGGATGAACCAGAGTGAGAGGGAAGAGGGGAAGGCCGCTGGAGCCCTGACCACAGAGATAAAAGCCCCAGTCTTTTCCTAAGTGTGCCTGTATGTGATATGTGGTGCCAGTTTCATGTACCTCTGCATTCCTGCCCTAGGCCAGCACAGTCCTGTCACACAGAGGGCATATGATACACATTAGTTTAGTGACTAGGGTTGGAAGGTATAGGAGAGATGGACAGAGCTCTGCCCTGTTCAAATCCAGGCTCTGTCATTTATGAGCTTTGAGATTTTGGACCTCTGTGCCCATTTTTCTGAGTGAAACATAAATAAGAGCTCCTACCTTATGGGGCCTATGATAACTATGTGACAATGTACAGAAACCTAACGACACCTTAATGCTCAACAAATCTGGCGTCATATGCTGGCTATCGTAATGCCTAGGTCTCAAGGAATCTCAAAAGCCTTTTGCTGGGTTTGAGCTTCAGTCCACAATTCTGTCCGGTTCAGCTGTGCTGAGCCTTTTCTCTGTGAGGCAGTGGGAATGCGGACATACAGTATGAATGGGCACACTGGCAGACAACTTCTTGCTGGCTCCCCGCTATGTCCTGTAACACTGATGTTTAACTGGGGGCTGTCTGTCCACCCGCCCTGTTCTCCAGGAAGCAGCACTGAGCGCAGGCTGGGGAGCGTCGAGGTGGCGGTTCCGGGAAGGGCCACGATGAGCCGAGCCTTGGGAAATGAGTGGTGTGTGTTTCTCCACAGAGAGAAGGGGGCGCGTCGAGGCAGAGGGCCGGGCGCCGAGGAGCGCGCGGGCGCGGAGGCAGGCAGGGCGGGCGGCCTCACCTCGGCGTCGCGGCAGGTACACCTGCAGGTCGGGCTTGCGGGGCCTGGTGGGCGCGGGCGTGTGCCGCCTCCTCGCCTTCTCCTTGGCCGCCTGCTTCACCTTCTTGTCGTAGTCATCCCTGAGGGGAGCCGAGCGGGGGTCAGGGGCGGCCGGGCCGGGCGGGGCTGGGGGGAGGGCGGCGGGGCGGGACGGTACCGGGCGAGCTGGTTACGGCGGATGTGGTGCACGAAGCCGTGGCTCATGTCCAGCCGCCCGCCAGGCTTACAGCAGAGACGCGGCCCTGAGTCCGGCGTCGCTTCCATCTGGAGCCCTGGGCGCGGGGCCGCCGCCACTGCCACTGCCGCCGCCGCCGCCGCCGTCCCGGCCGCCCCGGCCGACTTCCGCCCCGAGAGCTCAGCACTTCCGGTCTCGCACGCAGCACTTCCGCCCCGAAAGGGCTGCCGGGCCCAGCGCCCCGCGCGGAGTTCCCCGCGCCGCTGGGCTGCGGGCCGAGCGGAGCCTTTCTTTGTGACACCACGTGGAGGAACAGGCTCTGGGCCGCCTGCTGCTACGTCTGACAATTCGGCTCCCGCGACGCCGCTCGGGTTCGGCGTGGAACCTTCCCGCCCTTCCTCTGGGGATAGGGTGCAGTGCACCTTGTCACCTGCTGCGTGACCTCGGCTGACTACTGAACCCCTCCGTGCCCGGTTTCCCCATTTGTACTCCGGGACCGGAGAGCACACGCCTCCAGAAAGCCTGTGAGGGGGCGAGGGCCCCGGCCCCAGCTCTGCGGTCGGCCAACCTGGCGCTCACCCGCTGGATGTCTTAGCTGCCCCCACGGGAGGACCCAGGGGTGCTCTGGGGTCTGAGCGTGTGCCATTTTCTTCTCCTTAAACACACACACACACACACACACACACACACACAAGATTAGGAATTCGTGGTTAGGGAAGGGACACACCGTGGTGCACCCTCACAGCCAAACGTCTCTGAGCAACCCAATGGGACGCGCTGTTGACACCACAACGTTGAATTTAAAAATAAACTCAGCGGAGGGAAACGGGCAGCGTCCAAAAGGACCCGCCCTGGGCTTCCCTGTCTCAGAAACAACAAGACGCCAACTAACTTGTGGCGACAAAGAGGACACTTTTGGGGCTGGTGGGTAGGTTCATTATCTTGATTGTGGTGCTGGTTTTGATGGGAAACTCAAGACATTAAAAGTTTTTAGTTTTAGCCCTGACCTGTTTGGCTCAGTGGATAGAGCATCAGCCAGCAGATTGAAGGGTACCAGGTTCGATTCCGGTCAAGGGCATGTACCTTGATTGCAGGCACATCCCAGTGGGAGGTGTGCAGGAGGCAGCTGATCGATGTTTCTAACTCTCCATCCTTCTCCCTTCTTCTTTGTAAAATATCGATAAAACATTTTAAAACAAGTTTTTAGTTTTACATCTATAGTTAATAGGTTCAGACATTAAATGCCGGTAGAAAGCTATTGTTGCAGGGACTGGAATGTGTGACCTGCGCTGCCTTCAGGAGACCCACAGCAATTCGTTGTGCCTGGGAGGCCTGCGAGCCACCTAGATGGTATCTGAGCCCATGTGCTCCGGGGAGAGGGCGCCAGCCCGCAGATGAAGGGACACCAGCCGGCAGATGAAGGGATGCTTGGAAAATCACTGGCTGCAGCTTTTATCTGATTAACCTTTCCCCTGAATTCCAAACCCTTTACTTACTTTCTTCTGAATTCCAAACCCTTGACCTACACTTTCCTTCTTGTAAAATGCGTGGCTTGAGATGAGATGTAAGATGGTCCCGACTGCTGGCCACCAGAATAAAGGTCCTTAAAGATGGAAGCCTTGTCTCTACTTATTGCTTCTGGTAGTGACGGGCAGCACACACCCCAACTTTCCTGCTTTCAGTTTCCCAGTGGATCCCGGCAGTTTTGAGACAATCGCACACTTAAAGTGCTGTTTATTTTTATTTTATTTTTTTAAAATATTTTATTGATTCTTTAAAAAAATATACTTTATTGATTTTCTTATAGAGAGGAATAGAGAGCTAAAAACATCGAACAGCTGCCTCTTGCACACCTCCCACTGAGGATATGCCTGCCACCAAGGTACATGGTCTTGACGGGAATCAAACCCAGGACCTTTCAGTCCCCAGGCGGACGCTCTATCCACTGAGCCAAACCAGCTAGGGCTATTTTGTTGATTCTTTACAGAGAGGAAGGGAGAGAGAGTTAGAAATAAGTGAGAAAGAAACATCAACCAGCATCCCTGCTGGGGATGCACCTGCAACCAAAGCGCATGCTTTTGACTGGAATGGAACCTGGGACCCTTCAGTCCCAAGGCCGCTGCTCTGTCCACTGAGCTAGACACTTTAAACGTGCGGTTTATTGTATATCAAAGCCCCTCAGTAGATCTGACAAAGGAAGTAGTTCCGGGTCGTGATAGTCACAGGCCGCAGCTTTATTGGTGTGACTGTAAGTCCCCCCGTGTTCCATGTTTGCACTTCCGTGTGCTACAGGAATAACCCTCTAAATGTGGCCCTAGAGGCTCCGGGCTGCTGCAGGCAGGGGATGTTTGGGGGCTGTCGTCTGGTTCTCCAGTGCAGGGGTGTCAGTTTCCAAGGCACTGACCCCCTAATCTTGGTTTGGGGGTACAATGCATTTTTTTTTTTTAATCCTCACCCAAGGACAATTGATTTTTAGGGAGAGTGAAAGAGAGAGGTAAAGACAGAAAAAAATATCGAAGTGAGAGAAAGACATGAATTGGCTACCTCCTGCAAGGCCGATTAGGCTCAGGCAAGGGAGGAGCCTGCCACGGAGGTACATGTCCCTCCGTGGCAGGCTCCTCCCTTGCCTGAGCCTAGTCAGGTACATGTCCCTGACTGGAATCGAACCTAGGTCCACAAGCCAACGCTCTATACACTGAACCAAATCTGTAGGGCCAATGTTTCTTGAAGAAATCTGGGACCCAGGGACGGCTTTTTTTTATTTTATTTTTTTTACCCAGAAATTCTACAGCCAGTAAAAAGTTCCAGTCCCTGAAATAAGCCAGTCAATGAAAGAGAAACACCACATGACCTCACTCATTTATGGATAATAAAGAACATTATAAACTGATGAACCAAAAGATAGATATAGAGACAATAAAGCAACAAGCCGACTGTCATACTACAGTGGGGAGGGGAGGGAGATCTGGGGGAGATAAGAGATCAACTGAAGGACTTGTATACATGCATATAAGCAAAACCAATGGATACAAAACTCTGGGGAGGGAGGGCATCTATGGGACAGGGGGCAATGGTAAGATATGTACACAAATAATAATTTAATAAAAAAATAAGGAAAAAAAAAGAGAAGCCTATTAACCAAAATGCAAAAAAAATAAAAATAAATAAAATAAAAAATTCCAGTCTCTTTAAGCTGGAAATTTGGGGCAAGTTGGCAGTAACCCTGCAGGTCGTGCTCAGCTGCGCACGCAGCCGCCAAGAGGCCGCTGGAGGCGCAGCACTTCCTAGTTTTCTGTGGCAAGATTTGTCCCCTTCGGTGACTCGTAGAGGGCCTGGTTGGCCACAGCGCCGCTCCTGATTGGCTGCCTCCCGCGCGCTCCTGAGTCCGTGCCCCCCGCGCTGGGCGACTTTGCCGGTAGTGGCGATGTCCGGCCGGTCCAAGCGGGAGTCTCGTGGATCCACCCGCGGGAAGCGCGAGTCCGAGTCACGGGCCAGCTCGGGTCGCGTCAAGCGGGAGCGCGATCGGGAGCGGGAGCCCGAGGCGCCGGTCGCCCGCGGCAGCCCGGTGCGCGTGAAGCGCGAGGCCGAGCCGGCGAGCGCGCGCCAGGCCCTGGCCCCCGTGGTGCCCGCCGTGCGGGTGAAGCGGGAGCGCGAGGCGGACGAGGACTCCGAGCCTGAGCGGGAGGTGCGAGGTGCGCGGGGCCGGGCCGGGCCGGGCGCACTCCCGCGTTCTCCTTTTCCCTCTCCAGCCTTTCCTCCCCGGGGGCTGGGGTGGGGGATCACACTTCACCGGTGTCCGCGACACGACTCTCGGCTGCGTCTTAAGGATAGTTGTCTGAATGATAACCACAGTTATTCAATTTCTAAGCAACAGCAACAACGGTAGCAGCTTTACTTGATCGAGTGCCTAACACGGGCTAGGTATTGTTAGTTATTTTTCAGGAGTCACCTTCAATGTTTACAAAACATCTGAGAAGCCAGACTTGCTGTAATTTTTGGAATTAGACTATTAAGAGATGAAAGGCTGGACGCTGAGCACCCGCACCTGTACTATTTTGTACTATTTTCTATTGGTACAGACAGGAGATCTGGATTCTAATCCTGACTTTGAGTCACTGTGGTTTGGGAAAACGGAGTTCAAGTTTTTGCTCTGGTGAGAGAGAGAGAGAGAGAGAGAGAGAGAGAGAGAGAGAGAGAGAGAGAGAGAGAGAGAGAAGGAGAAAGAAACAGTGATGTGAGGGAGAAACATTGATCAGTAAAACCTGCAGCCTAGCTATGTGCTCTGAGGTGGAATGGAGCAGCAACCTTTTGGTGTCCGGGAGGAAATCCCTACCAGCTGAGCCACCCGGCCAGGGCTGATGTACACTCATTAAAAAAAAAATGTTTTACAGAGAGGAAGGGAGAGGAATAGAGAGTTAGAAACATCCATGAGAGAGAAACATTGACCAGTTGCCTCCTTCACACTCCCCACTGGGATGTGCCTGCAACCAAAGTACATGCCCTTGACTGGAATTGAACCTGGGACCCTTCAGTCCGCAGGCCAACACTCTATCCACTGAGCCACTGAGCCACAGCGGTTAGGGCATGATGTACACTCTTAAATCTACCTCGTAGCAAGAATTGTGGTCCCACCGGTGTGGCTCAGTGGTTGAGCATCAACCCATGAACCAGGAGGTCATGGTTGGATTCTTGGTGAGGGCACATGCCCCACACTGGGCTCCATCCCCAGTGTGGGGCATGCAGGAGGCAGTTGACCAATGATTTTTCTCTCATTACTGATATTTCTGTCCCCCCCACCCCCCACTGTAGAGTCAGTAAACAGAATATTTAAATAATTGTGAAGAGTCTAAGATCCTGCCAATTTAGCCTGTGGCAGTTTCACGGATGCTGAAGGAAGACATGGGACTGTTGGACCTCAGATAATGTATTCCATGGGTAACAGGCAGGATGTAGCATTGGTGTCATTTCACGAGTCCAGAGAGCCTGAGTCTTTGATGAGGGACTGTGAGATCGCCTCCCCCTCCTCTGCCCTCCAAGGTGGTTCACAAACATCTTTGACAAGACAGTCTGGAGCTGTTGGTGCCTCTGGTCACAATATGTGCAGAAATACGAGGCGACCCACAACACTGTTCAGTTTAAGAATCATGAGCGCTCCCCTAGGCCCCTTCCCAGCTGTGTCTGCCTTCTTTGCTTAAGTATTCACTTCTGAGTATTTTCTGGTCACTCTGCTTTTACTAGTTATACTTTTAC